AAAGCGCTGGGCCCGCAGGCCGGGGCGCGGGGGAGCAAGTCCCCGGGCCCCCCCGCCTGCAGAGACTCCGCGGTACTGCCGGACACCCTGGGCTCCCTACAGGCCTCTCCCTTCGCGTCCCCCTCCCTTTACAGCGCCTTCACTCGGCGGGTTTCTCATCCTCGTCCTCGGCACTGAGCTGAGACGCGCTGAGCAGTTTGCTCTCCTTTTTCCACTTCATGCGTCGGTTCTGGAACCAGATCTTGATCTGCCTCTCAGTCAGGCACAGGGCGTGCGCAATCTCGATGCGCCGCCGCCGCGTCAGGTACCGATTGTAGTGAAATTCCTTCTCCAGTTCCAGCGTCTGGTAACGCGTGTAGGTCTGGCGGCCTCGCCGGCCGCTAGGCCCAAAGGAGGAACCTGTTACGCAAAGAAAAGATGCTGAGGCCCGGGGTCACCAGGCCGGAGCCCCTCCCCCACTCGATCCCCACACCTGGACTCTAGCCTGTCCAAGCAAGCCCTCCACACCCTGGTCCCTCGCACCCTCCCACACTCCTCCAGCGCCTCCTCTCAATTCCGTGGGGGGTGTCGCAGGCCTGCGCCCTCTTTGTCTAGACTGTTGGTGGGGGAGGGGTTGGGCAGTTCGAACTCCCACCTGAGCCTAGGGGGAGGGGCCGAGGAGGTGCTGGCCAGGTGTGTCTCTTCCTGGACGCATCTCTTCTTCCCCTCCCTTTCCATCCGTCTAGCTCTCCCCCGCCCACCCTGTGATAGATTCCGGCCTTTAATCCGTAATGACGTGGATCGATCCATAGTCGGCATTAACAGCTCCTCACTTTCGTGTCCCGCTAATGGACATCAATTTGGGATTTAAGGCCGACAAATAATCCAACCTGCAACCCAGGCGCCTGCTTCTCCCTCTCTCCCCACTGCCCTCTCTCGTTCGTCCTCTTCTCCCTCCTTCCTCTGACTACTCCCCTTTTCTAGTGCCCCATCTTTCCCCAGTCCCCCATCCCCAGGGAAACAGTCTCGGACAGACTCCGCTCTCCCTCGCCAGCGTCACACCGCCCTCCTCATGACGCACACCGTTTCTAATGGAGCCGTTCTAGGGTGGGGGACGGGACTGGGGTCTGGGGGCGCAAAGAAAAGTAAAGCCAGTGACTGTGACCCCTGCTACCTGCCCTGCCCGGGCATCCCCGCTCTGGCCTGACGCTCCGGGAGATCCCACTGCTCCCCCTGGTTCTGAGTCCAGCTGGGACTTTGCAAACTTTGTTACTCCTGAGGGGCGAGAGGGCAGGGCGTGAGACCCCGTGCAGGCGCCCATCTTCCTTTATCTCTTAACTGAGACGCCCACTTGCACCCCGTGGGGAAGTGGGGGGCCCCTCGCTGGCTGGGTCCCGGGGTGGGGGCCCGCAGGGTCGGGGTGGCGGCGGGCAGTCTCACTCACTGTTGCACGAATTCATCCGCTGCATCCACGGGTAGACTGGAGTGGAGCACTTCTGCTCCTCGGTTTCGCCAAACACGCTCTTGTCCTGCGCGCAGTCGGACTTCCTCGGCTCGGGATGGAACGGGGGCGGCTCCTCCGCGCCCGAGAGCGCGCAGGCCGACTCCTTCTCGCGGTAGAAGGCCGGCGCCGGCCCGTAGTCGCAAGGCGCCGCGCGGCCGTAGCCGCCGCCGGCTGGCGGATAATAAGAGGAAGCAGCAAAGCCCTTGTCCTGACCGGGCCCGGGCCCATAAGGCGCAGGGTAGTGCCTCAGCGGGTCCGCATAGCCGGACGAGTAGAGCGGTAGCTGGCCCAGGAAGGACTCCTGCCCGCTAGCCAGAGTGACGGGGAAGGTGGAGTTCACGAAATAGGAACTCATTGGGAGGGGAGGCGCGCGCGGCCGCTGCTGCTCCGCCGGGTTTATGATTTGTTGTGTTTTATAGTCCGAGCGCCGCGCCTATTAGTAGTATATCCGAGATTGGGTTTTAGCTGAGGGGGGATGGCGAGGTGCCAGTGAGGGCCAGAAGGAAATACAACCATCTGATCCAACACTGACCAATGGCAGAGGCAGGAATTGTCAAATAGCACCCAGGAGGAGCGCGGCCCGCACGAGGGACCCGCGCACAAACCTATCAACCTTTTTTTTTTCCTCCTTCTTCTCCTTCGCCTTTCTCTCTCTCTCCCCCAACAACACAACACGTCCCGTTCCACCTACGTAGGATCTGCGAAAGAGGCGTCTGTGCCTTTGAGGGAGGAGGGAGCGTTTGGATGGAGACCACCCCATCCCCCTGTGATTAAATAAATATATCCCTACACACACACACACACACACACACACACACACCGCGCACACACACACGCAGGATAGGAAAAAGTTCATTGTATTTTCAGAAAAGTTAACCCCTGCATTGCTTGGCCTGTTCCCTCAAAGGAGGGCTAGGTAAATATCCCCCATCTCGTTGACATCGAGATGGAAAAGGTTCGTTTCTAGGGTTTAGTGTTGGTAGAAGGGAGAAGAGTTCTCCGCTGTCTAATTAGCATCGCTTTCAGAGAGAGAGAGAGAGAGGCGAAGAAGCCATACCCTAGGTCCCAGCTTTTTGAAATCGTTTTTTCCCTGTTTATCAGATCTGCTCTATCTCCTCCAAGTCCAGGTTTAGTATTATTCCTCTTTCTCCACAACTCTTATGGTTTGAGGGAGACAGGCCACAGCCCAGTGCCCAGAGGTCTCAGAAGACAGGGAAATGGGAGGAGGGTAGGAGCTCAAGCTTCCTCCTCTGGGTCTGCAGCCAGGCTCAGAGCCTTTTGGATGGCTGCGGCTGGCTGGGGCCTGACTGGTTCTAGTCCACAGCTGCTCTCATCAGGAAAAGGTACTGGGTAAAGGGCTTAGCATTCTCCTCCGCTTGGGACTTTGGCCAGGAGGAGTCAGGCGGCCTTACCTATCTGATCTCCATCCTGTCTTCTAGCCTCTCACCTCCTACCCCAGCAACATGGGAATATCCTGCACTATAGAGTCTTAGGAATCAAGGATGTCCCAGTAAGTCCGGATACAGGAAAGAAATTGCTCCTCCTCGGATTCCAGGTCTTCAGACCCTCCTGATATTTCAGGAAATCAGACACGACCAGGAGGAAAGTAACACTTGCCCCTTTTCAAGGTCTCTCTAGAAGCTGGAAATTCTTTTTAAAAATCTCTCCCAAGACTTGGTGTTGGTTTAGTTTTGGGAGGAGAGAGGAGTGTTTGAGTTCTGCTGGGGGACTGCATCCCTTCTGGAAATGCTTCCAATCCTTCTGTCTGCCTCTCAGCATCTCTAGATTCCCTCCCACACCCTATGTTTGTATCACCTAGTTTGTTCGTGTCACCAGGTTTTGCTGCTGCTCTAAAGCTGGGATGTGAGAGTGTATGTCCCTGGTTCTCTTTCTCACCCAAGGAAAATGAGCATTGATACCAGGTGGGGAGCTGGGACCATGATGCATTTCCAACAAGCTAACATGCATGCAGAGACCAGGCAGTGATGGGTGACAGCCTTCTGACCTGGGGAGAGAGAAAGGAGGCAAGATGTGGGGCAAAGTCCACTGCTGTTTTAGACTGTCTTGTTCTTTGGGCTCCTTTTTGTGGGTCATCTCTGCCCACCCAAGATGACACAAGACACTAGAGATGGTGGTAGAGGGATGAGGTTGGGGAGACCTAGATTGGGGACCTGGTGGAGAGCAAAGTAGCCTCCAGGGCTCTCTAAACTCAGGGCAACTTCAAGACTGCACCTTCATGCCCAAAGTGGCCATGCCTGGATGGCCCTCCACCACTCTGGCTCTATGAGATTGTTTTTTCCCCATGGCTCTGTGAGATTTTGATGAGGATTTGAAAAAGGAAACACAGACCCTTTAACTGTGGAGAAGCATAAATGCTCCAATCTAGCTGTGGTTGGGTCCACTCCTAGAGAGAGATGGGGGCCATTTGGGCAAGGGGAGCAAGTGAGGGAGAGTGCCTGGTTGCCTATCTCTCCTCTCTGCCACTGAGGTTTGCTGTGGGCCTCAGTTCTGCCTGCCTTCTCCCAGGCCACAATGCCCCCATTCTAGGACTGGATAGTGTGAGCCTCCCTGTGGGACTGGATGGTCTGAGCAAAGTAATATAGGATGCAAGAGGTGCGGGGTGGGGGAGCTTCCTTTGAGGTATGAGCACAAAAATAATCTCCTTATCCTAAGAGTCGAAGCCCCCAAATTAACCTCACCTCTGCAGGTTGCCTGTCAGGAGATGGAGCCGCGACGGCAGGGCCCGGGCGCCTGGAGTCGGGCATGAAAGGAAATAGCGCCTCATCGCTCTTATCTAAGCCCAGAGGTATTTATGAGCGTTTATTCGTCTGATCCATTTGTTTGGGAGAAAGAGCAGGCGAGCAGGGCCCGGCCAGAGACCGCCTGGCTTCTGGAGCCAGATCTCCACACATCTGTCTGTGGTTCGGTCCACCGGAGTCTGTCTGTCTCCACGGAGCAGTATGTAAATACACAGCGGGCACAGCCGGTCTGCCCGCCTGGGGTGTGTGTCCGCTCCTCGAGGAAGAAGTGTGTGTCTCTGGAGAGGTGGATAGAAATGTGTACCAAGTCTTGAGTACAAACCAGAAGGATTGCATAGATGGCCCACAGGCAGGATTTATCATTGCAATTTTCTGGGCTGCAAGGCTGTGGTCTTGTGGGTGCAAATACTTTCTAGCTCCCAGGAAAATGTCTCTCCTAAGTTGTGTTAGACTCAGGAGTAAAATTCTGTGTGTGTGTGTGTGTGTGTGGGTGGAGACACTGTCCAGGCTTCCCATTTCCTCTGAGTTACAAAGTGCCCCCCCAAGCTCTTTGGGTTGCGGGCCCTTCCCCACCCACCCCAATGTCAGCTGGGGTGGGGAGATTAAAATCTCTCAACCGAATTTTCCCCTGGACTCTGATTTTCTGGGTTTGAGAAACATAAATATTTTGGGGAGGGGGAGACTGGGGCCACCCCTAAAGATTGAGGGGCACTTTGCCTTAAAATCCACCCTCCAGAGCTGTACAAAGATCTTATTCCATTATGCAAATGAGCGGCATCATCTCTGATCTTCTGGGGGGAATGGGCGGAGGCCACAGGCCCCTTTCCATGTCCCCCATCCCCAGAGTGGGCACCCTAGAGGCCGAAAGTGTTCCAACCCTCTGTACCAGCTAGGTTTTAGTCTTGCAGATAGTCCACAAGAAATCGTCTCAGAGGGGCCCAAGTCCTTCCCAGCAGGCTCCCTCCCGCAGGGCGCCTCACTGGGACGGGCCTTCTAACTGCCATAAAGTCACTCCTACCACCGAAAAGCTGAAAGGCTGCTCCTGCGGGCCTGATTCAAGGGGCGGCTGCGGGCGGGGGGTCTGAAGCCGCAGCTCTTGCCCCCAGCACCGCCAGCCCCTCAAATCGCAGCGCCTCCAAACCCTGCCAGACCCCTGTAACACCTCGGCCTGCCTGGCACCGCAGGCATTTCCTGCAGCCCCCAGCCAGGAATCCAGGCCACTGCACCTTAAAAGGAGAGGCCGGAGCTCCTTCCTGCGGCTTGAAAGCCTGAGCTAATCAGTAACCAGGGAGGCAGGGGCCAATATTTCAATGCGGCAGCAGAGGCGCGGACGCCCGCCCTGGCCACCCTTCCTGAGATAGTGGTCAGGTTAAGCGCGTGTGAGGGGTCCGACAGGAACCAAAAATGGTTTGGTTCTCGAATGATTTCTTTCCAATTCCACTCCCGCATTTTTCCCAGAGGTGTATTTGCGTCGACTTCGCTTGAAAGGATGCAAGATGGGGGGGAGGGGTCAAACATTCACTTGCACACACCAACAATTTCCAGAAAACTCGGTTCAGTTCCTTCACCACGGACCCACCAACCAAAGAACTGGCAAGACCCACCAGCCAACCGGGAGAACACAGGCCCAGTTTGTCTTTTGACAACCAAGTGGAACTGCCGGGCGGCGCCTCCCCTGCTGGTCCCTTTCCTTGGCCGAGAAGAAAACCAAATAAACCTTCCACAGCCTTGGCCTCAGATCTCCCCAGCGGGCTGACCCCTCTCGCGCCCATGGGAGGGGGGACCTCGCGACTCTATCCCCAACCCTCTGGCTCAGGGCCCCCTGCCCGCGGGAGGCAGTATTCGTCCTCCTTAACCGTGGCCCACTGCAATAGCCGCTTCCCCTGGCCGATTTGGAGCTGGGATGGGGGGAGGGCGCTTGGGCGCGCTTGGGCGCTAATCCACACCCTGGCCGCCAGGAAGCCGGATGCAGCGGGGAGCGTCGCTCGGAGCCCGAACCCCACCCCCACCCCCCAATCCCGCCGAACCTGCGCAGCCGGGGATCCCGGCGTCGGGCAAGGCTAGTGCAGCGTCGCGGGCTGGCGGCGCCGAAGCCGCGTGTCTCCACACGGACAGTAGATGGCAGCAAACCGCATAATTTGGGTCAGAGCAAACTGTCTAAGAGATGATTTATAACCCGCCAAGACTATAGGAGAAAAAGACCTTTAGGCTGGTGGGTTTGGGGAATTTTTCCTTTGAGAATAGGCCGCGAATGCCGTGGGTGCTACCCAAGACCATCTTTCACAGTGCAGCCGAGAGAATCCCTGGGGCGCCCAGTCTGGGCCTGTGTGCAGGGCATCCACCTGGGCCTCCAGGGTCTCCCTCTCGCGCCACAAGTGGCTGTGACCCTTTCCGCTCGTGGCTGTATTGAGAGGGCCAATACCCCCACCCCCACCCTGCGCGCTCACATACCCCACGTCCTGCAAAGCAGGGGAACCAGAAGCCCGAGAATGAATGCCCTGCATCTGGTTTTAAGAAAGAGAAAAACCACCATCAATTTGTGCAAACCAAACTAAATCGCAGTCTCTCCTGCCCTCTGAGCCCAACGCTGCTTATCTCTCCGCTAGCAGCTTCCGCGGAAGCTCTCACCCCATTTTTTAGTGCAAGGCTTGAGACTCATGCCTCCTCCCAGGCCACCACCCCCCCCACACACACACACCAGCTACTCTAGGAACCTTGACCCTCCGCCGACGGCTCGGCTCTTCTCCCCGCCTCCAAGGAGGCCTAGCTGGGGATGAAATCAGGCGCCGGAGCGACAGGACTAGCCGTGCGAGCTCAGTGCCAGGCGTCTTTCCAAGACCAGGCACCCTCAGGTCCCCTTACTGGATTTTCTTTTTCTTTTCTTTCTTTCTTCTTTCTTTTTGGTTTACAAGCCCCAAACAACATGCTAAACAGCTTCACAATCATCACGTTTGGATCCAGGAAAGTTTGCAAAAGAACAATGTTTCCAATTCAGACATACATGACATTTTTCTCCTTCACCGAAATCAACACATCCCAGTACCAATAAAACACAAGTAATAGAATCAATAACAGAGAAAACAACACGCTGTAACCTACCGCGTTAAACCCACAAAACTGTCTCCCTGCAGAGCGAGGCTCCCTCCTCCGGGAGTGGTGAGGGGCAGGGGCCCTCTGGCTGTCTTCCTGGGGGGTCGCCCTGCCTGTGGGTGCCTCCACCCACAGCCCTTCAATTTCAGCAATGTCTCCGAAGGGAGACTGTGAGCATTTCTCTGCCAATTGTCCTTTCTGTATTTCTCTAGCCGCTGCCTCCTCTCGTCAGCCTCTGAGGAGGTTCCGGGCCCTCCAGAGACCAGGACGTCCCTGAGCGCCACCTCCCCTTGTGCCAACGATGCCGGGAAACCGCCGGGACCCGCACTGGGCAAGAGAACTGCACGGGGGTAATGGGGAGAGGCCGGGACATGGAAGGGACTGGGGGGGGGGAGGGGCCGCAGACCCCGGGAGGCCGTCGCCCCCGGCTTCTGCGGGCGCCGCTGAGGCCCAGGTAGCCCCATCCTCGCTATCGCGGCCCCTCGCCTGAAGCTCTGCTCCGGCTAAAAAAGGCGATTCTGAACTTGCCTTCGTGGCCCCTTTCGGTTCCTCCTCCCGTCTTCCCTGCCTAGGCTCCCCCTCCAGGAAGCAGCCACCCCTCTCTCTGCCACCGAATTTCCTGGGAAGACTCTCCCTGCAGCGTCCAGAGGTGGGGTTCAGCCCTGTCTTGGGGGGGAGGGAGTCAACCCAAGCCCCACCCCCCTACAAAATCGATGCAAAAGAACAAGAGGAAAATTGTAGAGCTCGCTTACCTTTGCAGAGCTTGGGTTTTTTTTCACCCCTCCGGATTGAAAGGGGTGGGGAGGGAGAAAAAAGAGCGTTCGGTTTCTTCTTCAGCTTCCAGATAATATTGTCCCAACCTGTGAGCCGTTGCTTCCCCTTCTCTGACTTGGGAGAGAGGGTGTTTCGCTTTTCTGACATTTGCATAGAAAATAGAGTACATTCTGGCTTTGAAAAATGGTATCACTCTGCGGTCCTGGGCAAATTTTCCACGTACCCTCCATGATGACTGAAATCCCAAATCAGCAAGCAAATGAACTTAGGAATGAAAATTCTTTTTGGTTCTCTCTTTTGTGTAATTCCCACCCCTCCTTCCCTCTCTCTCTCTTATCTCCCCCTCTCCCTTTGCTCTCTTTCACTCTGTTGAGCTGATACTGAAGTATTAAAAATATCAAGAGGCTGGAACCCTGAAGGACGACAGTGCTCCGACCTAGGTGTGGTGTCCAAAAGAATGCTGCATTATAACCACCAGGGAAATGATAAAAAGTTCATGTTCACGATCGCCCGGCCACATGACCGGCGCCGGCCAATCGCTGGATTCAACCACTCATAAACTTCTATCACAAAGTTGTAAATTTTCATAAAACAACAAGGAATTTATTGCATTTCTTCATGGCTGCTCCACCAGCCGCCCTTTTCTCAGTCGCCATCTTCTTTTCTTCTCCTTCTTGCTTTTTTGGGGAAACCCAATCTGAGAAGGGGTGAGATTTGGGGTGCTTGGAAGGAGGGCGGAGGAGCCGCAAGGGGCCAGCAGGAAAGGGGGCTCTTTTCGGAGCCACCTATTTCTCGCAGGAGCTCTGTCTACCTCCGCTAGTAAAATGTCACCCCCAATTCCTCCGCACAGGGACTATTCTCAGACAGTTTGGGGGTGAAGCGGAAGCAGCGTTTGCGGCAGGATGAAATGAAACCTTCAGTGTTCCCTCTTCCCCTGTGAACCGCCCCCTCCTTCTGAGCCCCGTAGCTTGCGGGTCCCCCACCTGTGAGGCTAGCAGCATTGCGGGGTGTGCGCCCTACAGTCTCGCAGGCCTAGCTTTTGCCCCAGGAGGGAAGGTTGTCTTGGGCCAGGGCCAAAGAGCGCAGTACAGCAACCCTATTCTCGCCTCCGCACCCCAGAAATTGGGAGCGGGTAAAGCCAGCTCCTGGCCTCTCGGGACCAAACCTGTCCAGGTTCACCGGCACCTCTCGGTGCGCTCTCCAGGGGGTTCTGAGATCATTAATAGAGAAAACTGTAGGTTCAGGGGCCTTTTACTTGCAAATTCACATTAAACCAATTCTCTTAAAATGCGCTTTCCCTTCATCACCCCTCCCCCTTTCTGTCCCGACGCCAGTTCTTCAAATTTAAATAACCCTGGATTTACAATCGAATAAATACTAAAAATCAGTTCTGCAGGTTTAATTGCGTTTATGCTGTTTTCTGGGCTTTCGTCCCTCAATTAAGGGACAATTTGGAATGAAAAAAAAATCACCCCGTTTTCCAGGTTCCGTGCTATATCCCCATGTTTTGAGTTGAGCAGCCGGCGCTCGAATGAATGAAACGAAATAAGCACCCCAAAAATGTTTCTCTTTTTTTCCCCCTCCCTCTCTGTGCTCCGGAGAAGGCTCCAGGTTACTGGCAGCGAGGAGAGCCAGCAGAGGGACGCGGAGGCAGCCGGCGGAGGCCTGGATCAGAGCGGCCAGCGTCCGGCTACTCTAGCCCAGTAACCTCGCTGCGCTCAGGCTCGCTCCTGGGGCTAATTTTGAAATTTTTGATCTGAGTCATTTGTGTCCATTTAGAATGAGATAAATTAAAATCAATGAAATAAAAATAAATGGAAAGAAAATAACCAAACTTGCCGAAAACGTGTGCCGAGCAAGCGAGATGTCTCGAGCCGCTGGTTTTAGAGGCCGCTTGGGTCCGCGGTAAGGTCTCCGCTCCTGGGCCTCGCTCAGCCCAACGCCGCCAGGAACGGCTTTGGCTCTTCCCCTTTTATTTCCTTCCACCCTTCCTGAGGATGAGGCCTAGTATTTCGGATTTCTGCTCTTATTTTTGCCCCGGTAGCGGCAGCGGGTGCATAAAGCTCTGAGAGCCAGCAGCCTGGCTTGAAGGCCTGGATGGGGAAGATGGTTTATGGATCTGTGGGGTTTTCTTGTTTGTATTTTCGAGTACGTGTGACTGAGCTTGTGAGCTCATGGCTGTATTTACTTGGGGGCAAATGTGAATGTACGTTTGAGTGTGTATTAATGTGTCTGTTTGGGAGCCAGTGTGTGTGAGCCTGAGTGTGAAGGTACGTGTTCCCTGGGACTGGACTGGAATTGTGTGAATGCCGGTATGTTTACCGGTGGGCTATGAATATTGGTGTTTATTTGGGACCTAGTGGGACAGTGAACACGTTTCTTTGTATGTGGTCACCTTCTAAATAAATGTGTATGATTGTGTGTTGTGTCGAGGTGTGTAAAAAGGTGTAAATGGAATGCGTGCAATATGGGGGTCCACAAGTCAGCAGCCCCCAGAGCAAGGAACATCAGGAAGAAGAGCAGACTCCAGCACAAAAAGCAATGGCCCGGAGCGGAGGGGTGCTGGAACTGTACCACCCATCGCTAACCCTGGCCTTCCCAGGCTTAGGGAGACACAGAACACAGGGCACATGTTTCTTTGTAATTATGTTTTATTTTTCCATCCTTCAGATACACGGAGAATGTAAAGAGGCACAAGGGGCTAGCAGAAGCAGAGAGCAGCGGGCAGGCGCACAATGGGAACACACGAGCTACCCGGCCGGTCCTTAGGGCTCACTCAGGCCCTTGGGCGGCCGCTACCAGGAAGAGAAGGCCCAGGAGGGCGGGGAACCTCACACGTTAGTCCAGACTTACAGTCCACAGAGACACCATCAAAGGGGGCTTACAAAACAGCTAGACTTTACAAAGACCTTACAAGGACCACATAGAAAAGAGAAGGCAGATTTCAGAAAGCTACAGAACAGGTAGATCATGGCCTCTGCGTGTCGTACAAAAACAAACCCAACGGACTTTCCTATAGGTAGTATTTTTTTTTCCCTCAGTGTTAAGACACTCAAATTTCTTCTCGCCCTCTTCTCTAAATTTTTTTTATTAAAAAAAAAAAAAACTGCTTCTATTTAAATATTTAACTTTCCTGGTTCAGTTCCCAGAGTGGGGCTTCTCCCTTTTCCCTCTCTGTTTTTTTCCTCTCTTCCTCTGCCCTTTCTCTGTCCCTCACTCTTCCTCTTCCTCCTCCGCCTCGGCCTTGTCTTGGCCGCCTGCGCCAGGACTGGCGGTCTTGTTCTCCTTTTTCCACTTCATGCGCCGGTTCTGGAACCAAATCTTGATCTGTCTTTCAGTGAGGCAGAGCGCGTGCGCGATCTCGATGCGCCTTCGCCGCGTCAGGTAGCGATTGTAGTGGAACTCTTTCTCCAGCTCCAGCGTCTGGTAGCGGGTGTAGGTCTGGCGGCCTCGCTTGCGGTCTGTCCCTGCGCACAGTATTTAGAGGAGAAAAAGAAATGAGTGTGAAAAATGCCAGGAGAGTGCCCATCTCCATCTTAAACCTTGTGGGTGATTTTTTGGAGGCAGAGAAGTCCATTTTCCTATTGAAACCATATTCTTATTTTCCATCCTCCAGCCTGTATCTAACCTTTTGCCTTAGGCTGCAGATCTTTCTACAGGCCTCCCAAGGCAAACATCCCCATTTTCTATCCAGAAATCTAGCCCAGCCTGGTTTCTGGACCCAGGACAATCTAACCTGCAGGTTCTTGAAGGGTCGGATCCTAAAGGATATATGTGGGATGAGGGGAAGGTAACCATCTTGTCACCCTCTGGAACCTTTGGAAGCCTCCCCGTTTAAAAGCTGGGTCTGGTGGTGGTTCGGGTAGGGGACAATGGGCACCATGCAAATCACCCTGAAGTGGTGCCCCAGGCCTGGCCTGGGTGGATTTCCCAACAAGAAAAGGAGACAAAGGAGTATCACAGGCCCAGTCCCAACACCCCCCACCCCAGCCTGTTATGGAACAAGGAGGAGGTCAGAGTTTGCAGATTTCCTTGGCACTTGGAGTTGGTCTGGGAGCAGCTGTCCTCTGATGATTCTTTTCCAGTCAGTGGTGGAAACAGACTAGGCCAGGTTGTGCTGCCAGCCCACCTCCCAGACAGCCCAGCTCTCCAAAGCAATCTTTGGGCCTCCAGAAACGACAGAGGGAGAAGAGGGACAGTAGCCTGGGTTGGGGTGAAACTTGAAGCATCTGGGTGGCGGGGGCTGAAGGGCAGATGGGAACTGCTCAGGTTAGGCCCAGAACCCTGAGGAGCCTTGGGCAGGGGGAGTTGCACAAGAGGAGGTATTGCTGCCAGCCCTCTTGGGGAGGAGACAGGGAGAAAGAGCTAGGGCCCCTAATTTAAAATCAGATAAAAGTCAAACTGAAATGTTTACAGTGTTTAAGAGCAGAAAAATTGGGGCTTTGATCAATCAACTGGAAAGGCAGTTGAATTATGGAGCAGGTAATGGGGACCATGATCACCAATACTGATGGTGCAGCAGCCACTGCTCCTGGCCCCCACCACCTCCAGGGGTTGGGAGCCCCTGGCCACTGGTCTTAGGCCTTCTGGATTCTGAGGCTGGCCCCTGAGACCAGGTAGGACAGTGGTAAGAGGAATGTCTGAGCCAGGCTTGGGAGGTAACCCCCATGGGGCCTCTGGCCTCTTAGGGTTCCTGCAGCAGCTGGACCCTCTGTGTCCTGACTTGGCTGCATGGAGTCTTAGCCCATCCCCCAAGCAAGAGCGTCACACTTCTGGAACTGCACCTCCAAACTTGGCCCGTTCTGCGGTGGTGTACCTAGGAGTCCTGGCAGGGCCAGCACCCGAGGATGCCAGCTGTACTCTCACCAAGCCTCTGACCCTTTCTCTAGTTTTCCTGCCGCACTCCAAGTTCACTGGGGGGTCAGAGGCCTCATCTCTTTGGCCTCAGCCCCCTCCCTCCACCTGCCTGTGGTCGGTGTCCCTGGCTGGGTCCTCCTCTTCTCTCGCACCCCCTCCTCCTGCCGGGGCCTCCAGGGCCCACCTCTAATTGTCCTGATGGGAATAATGGGGGAGCGGGGTTGGCTGGGAAGGAAGGGGGAGGGGAGTGTCGCTCAGCGCTGCGGCCCCCTCCCCCAGACCTCCTCCTAGCTGGGGCTGGGGGGACACACCCAGAGCTGAAATCCCTGGTGGGGACGGGGGAGGGAGGGGAAGACCCTAATGGCTATTCTCTGCAAACCCCAGCCTTCTTCCGAAAGACAAACGGCCTCGTCTCCAGCCCGTGCCGGCGCGACTGATAAATATTTAAAGCTAAAAGGCCGGGAGGAAGGCTGGGGGGCGGGCCGGGGTCTCGGAGCGCCGCGGCGGCGGCGGCGGCGGCTGCGGCGGCGGCGGCAGTGGCGAGATCCGCCCGGGAGCCGAGCGAGCCTGAGAGTGCCAGCAAAGCCGGGTGGGGGCGGCGCGCGCCGGGCCGGCCCAGGGGTGCCGCGTCTCCAGGGCCCACCTCTGCACCGGAGCACTCTGGACGCGGAAAAGGGTGGCTTGCTGGGCACGGGGAGCCCTCCGCGGAAGGTTCCGAGCCGCTGCGGCTCGGGAGGGCTCGGTGCGCGGCGTTACCTGAGCTTCGCATCCAGGGGTAGATCCGGAAGTTACTCTCGGCAGCCAAGTCTGAGTCCCTCTGCTCCTTGGCGCCCGCCGCCTTGGCGGAGTCTCCGGGACACACCCCGGAGAGGTTCTGCTCAAAGGGCGCGCAGTGCATGTTGAAGGAACTCGGCTCGAGCCCGTAGCCGGCCGCGTAGACACCGGCCGCGCTCTGGCCCGCCATGCCCCCCCCGCCCGGGTACAAGCCCTGCATCGAGGCGGCGAAGGAAGCGCCCGAAGCCGCTCCATAGCCCGGGCGCTGGGGGTTGGAAGCAAACGCACAAGAAGTTTGTTCGGGGAAGGCTCCAGTAGCGAAAACCGAACTTGCGGCTGGATATTTAGAAAATAAAGCATTCGCATAATACAATGAACTCATAATTTGGCCGGATGATTTGTAGGCAGGGACGTTTTAGTGTCGGTTTTACGAGATTCTTTGATATATTACAGAATTAGAGTCCAGATTTACACCAAAAAGGACCCCCTTTTTCCTCTCCGGAACACGTGACCTCCGCCCACGTGACGTCCCCTCCGCCAATGACCGGGCAGCCTCCCCACGGCTCCTGGTAATGTGGAAAAAATTGTGTGGCGTTGGATTTATAAAATATGATCAATAATGAATGGGGAAGCCGAGCCCTGTGGATTGGGGCTGGGGGCTCCAGAGCCGCTGCCGACCCCCGCGGGCTGGAGGCAGCTTGCAGGCGAGATTTGGGGAGGATGGAATTGAGTGGAAGGGGAAATAAATAATCTCAGAGCGACCCGTGTTGTCACCCCCCCAGCCATCCTCCGGCCTGTTACTAAGCGTGAGACAAACTCAGGAATTGAATGCACGCAACTAGGGGAAGGGCAGGGCAGGGCAGGCCTTTATTAATCCGGGCCAATTCAGCCTGGTCGGGCCTTTAGTGGAACTTGGTCCGGTTTCCCCAAGGTGAGGGATGAGTGAGCCTGGCCACCCAGCTCTCTCTCGGTGCCCCAGACGCACGGGCAGGGATGGACCAAGGCTTGGTGGTTCACGCAGGCTTCGGTGGTCCTAGAGCATGGGGTCCAATTCCCGGGCGTGGAACGTTGCAGTTTCTGGTGGCTTAAAAAAAAAAAAAAAAAGGTTTGAAAATAAAAAAGGAAAGGGGTGGAGTGGGTGGGGAGAGAGGGGAAGGGAGGAGGGCGGCCCAGGGAGCGCTGCCCTCCAGGTTCCGGGAGGCGGATGCCTCCGCCAAGCCAGACTGCCAAAGAAACGGAGGCTGCAGAGGAAGGAAGGCGGCAAGTCCTGGAGGGCCGAGCTGGACGCAGGAGGCCAAGTCTCCGAGAAAGAGAACAGTGTCAGTCCCTCCTTCTGCTCCCCCCATCAGAGTCCGAGAAAAATAAAAATGTAAGCGTGTTCAGCAGCCCTGCACTCCACCTATAAACCCCCCAAACACACACAGAGGACAGACATGGAAACAAAAGGGGAGGTGGCGGGATCAGAACCACTAGCCCGGGCGCATCTCTCAGCGAGGCCTGGGCACCCGGGTCTCCCGGGCCTGTCGGCCTCGGAACGCGAGGGGAGGGGGTTTCTCCCAGCTCCCCTCCCTCATTCCTCTCTCGTCCAATCACGCGCAGCCGCCTCCCTCACCCTCCGAGCCCCTGGGCAGAGGGACTCGCACCACCTGCCTCCAGCCCCCGCCCCCTCCTCTCTGCGGCCAGGCCTCGGCGGGCGCAGGGAGCCCCAGGGATCTGCTCCCCTCAGCTCTGCAAACGCGCCAGGGAGCAAATGAGGCAGTGCGGGCCGGGCAGGTCTCAGGTTCTTGCTTGTAAACTTTATTGTAACTCTTCCGCCCTTTTCAGGCGCAGACAACAGGACAAAGTATAGAGGAACAACAAAATATATAATTAGCCCCCCTCCCCCCCCATAAAGCAATTCACGGATACAGGATACATTCTCTTCACAGTAAACCTAAGAACACTTTTAACAATTGCCCACAGCGCGCATGCTAACTAAAGTAACCTCTTTTGAGAAACACTTAAGACGAAATTGTCAAACCAAAGGCGGGTGGGGAGGAAGGAAGAGAGAGAAGCCAGAGAGAAAGCCAGCGAGCTGGGTAGTGCAGCGGGGAGAGAAGGGCTGGGAGGGGAAA